GAATGAATCACAAAGAGTGAGTGTGAGTTAGAGAGTTGTGTGTGAGTGAGTGTGGTTTTACGCCGCTTTTAGCAATATTCCAGCAATATCACGACGTGGGACACCAGAAATGGGCTTCATGTACTGTACCCATGCGGTGATTTGAGCCAGGGATTTCGGCCTGAGGAGCAAACGCATTACCCACTAGGCCACCCAACGGCCCCCAGATTGTTACAGGGTAAATCAGAATGAGTTTGTGAGTGAGTCGGAGAGTGAATTGGGGGCCTGTACCCACGTGTGGAATCGAACCCGGACCTTCGTCGTGACGAGCGAACGCTTTAACCACCAGGCTACCCCACCGCCCCCGTGAAATAGAGAGTTAAGGAGGATATTTGTTATGAATAAATGACGAGTCAACAAAGATCGCGTTATATTACAGCGGTCTTTACACCTTACAGCGCATGCATCACGCAGCATCTCAGAACATCGATTCAAACCAACACCTCCAAGAGTTCTAAGGAATGGAAATAATACATGAAAGAACAACCTCGCTGTTGGTTCGAACACCATTATCACACAGTTGACGTTATCCTTCTATAGTGCTTCTAAATGTCTCTCAGAAAGGTTATTCCAAGAGTTCTAACGCCAATTTTAGCATTATTCCAGTTATATCACGTCAGGGAACACCAGAAATGGACTTCACAAATTTTACCCATGTGGGGAATCGAACCCGGGTCTTCGGCATGACGAGCGAACGCTTTAACCACAAGGCTACCCTCTCCATATATCGAAGGGTTAGCGTGGTGGTAAAAGGTGTTTTTTTCATAGTGACGCATAGATCTGGGTTCGATTCGTCACTTGGTTGCAGTGTCTTAATTAATACGTGTACATGATTTGTGTCCCAACAGCGATATTGCTCAAATAATGTTAACAGTGGCTAAAACCCATACTCACTTCTAAACCGAACTGTCGATCACGTTCACAACATAAATCACACAGCATCATATGACATCACTGACTGACTGACTGACTGAGTTTGGTTTTACGCCGCTTTTAGCAATATTCCAGCAACATCACGGCGGGGGACACCAGAAATGGGCTTCACACATTGTACCCATGTGGGGATTCGAACCCGGGTCTTCGGCGTGACGAGCCAACGCTTTAACCATTAGGCTACCCCACCGCCCCTAATATGACATCAACACCCAGTGATGCAAGCAGTGATCTGGAGCCGAAGCCACAAAACGTTCGTAGCACTACACCATTTTTAATCAAGTCTATGATAAAGAATATAGTTACGATAGGTCGTAACGTTACGAACGATTTGTGGATCAGGACCTTGGTTATCACTATATTTCTAGAATAGGATAAAGTATAGAGTTACGATAGGTCGTAACGTTACGAACGATTTGTGGATCAGGACCTTGGCTATCACTATATTTCTAGAATAGGATAAAGTATAGAGTTACGATAGGTCGTAACGTTACGAACGATTTGTGGATCAGGACCCTGGTTATCACTATATAGAATAGGATTATAGAGACGATAGGTAACGTTACGAACGATTTGTGGAGTTATCACTATATAGAGTTAGAGTTACGATAGGTCGGTCGAACGTTTTGTGGATCAGGACCGTTATTTCGAACTATAGAGTTTGTCGTAACTCGGGACCCTGGTTATCACTATATTTCTAGAATAGGATAAAGTATAGAATCACGATAGGTCGTAACATTACGAACGATTTGTGGATCAGGACCTTGGTTATCACTATATTTCTAGAATAGGATAAAGTATAGAGTTACGATAGGTCGTAACGTTACGAACGTTTTGTGGCTCGGGACCCTGGTTATCACTATATTTCTAGAATAGGATAAAGTATAGAATCACGATAGGTCGTAACATTACGAACGATTTGTGGATCAGGACCTTGGTTATCACTATATTTCTAGAATAGGATAAAGTATAGAGTTACGATAGGTCGTAACATTACGAACGATTTGTGGATCAGGACCTTGGCTATCACTATATTTCTAGAATAGGATAAAGTATAGAGTTACGATAGGTCGTAACGTTACGAACGCTTTGTGGATATTTCGAGAAGGTTTGTACATCCATCGTTGTACACAATACAACAAGTCCCCCGATAACTCGCTCAGATTTGTCTCTTCGTAACAAAATAACAAGCGCGCCGAGTTCTCGTCTTGGTCCCAATTTCACGTTTCTTATCACTTCCAGTTTAATGAGGTCCTTCAAGTGCACCCCTCGTGTGCTTCCCAAATATTTTTTTTCTCTGACAGCTATATCACGCTGATCATTAAGAAATAATTAATCCGATTTGTGGTTATAAGATACCTTAGGGCCTCCAGCTTTGGCCGCGTACGTCATTACGGAACAAATTACACAAACTTCTGCAATTCCTACCTTTTCGTGGAGATTTTCAGATTGCATAAACACCCCATTAAATCTATTTCGACAATAATTTCCTATCTTTTCTGGGCGCCGTATCGGATCATTGGAAGCCATGAAATGTCCTTACAATGTAATCATATGTGGTATTTTTTTTCTCAAGCTAAGCCTCCCCAGGGGTTGAGTCTCTCCCATGGGAGTCGGGCACTCATTTAGCGTAGTTTGTTCTTGTGAGTCGTGATGTTGGCAGCCTGTCAGAGTCGGAAGGATAGCCGCATCCCTTTGGCTTCCCTCATCTCATTACTGATTACCGATTACGCCGCCTGATGCCCTTAGACGGCTTCTGTTCACTTTAATTTAAACAACTCGTTTATTAATTTGATTTTTTTAATGGATATTTTTTTCGAAAAAACAAGTCTCATTTGCAGTTTTAACATTTTAATTAAATAAGGTTGGAGATGTTCCGGTTGTTTTTCCAAGATATTTATGAACATGGATTTGCTGTACATATATCTGTATCGTACATGTCTGAGACACCGTTGGCGACGTCGACGAGAATGTGGCTGGCTGTGTAACTATAGCTACAGGTCGGTGTCTTATCTGATTAGTATACAAACCACCCTTAGAGGCCATCAGTTTGATGTGTTGAATGCTATAAGGATTCGAACCAAGACTTGCGGCTAAACATTGCGCCTTGTAAAACAAATTTGTGTATGTGCTGTGACGTGAACGCTATAAAAAGCTGTTAAATGAAATTTGAAGCCTTTGAAGAGTTCTAAATCCGTTGTACTGTCGGAAAGTTTTTAAAAAATGATGTATACGTGTGGTTTTTAGTGTTTTTTGTTAAAAACATTACGAGAAGACCTTCCGTTTAGCTAATCTTTTTCAGCAGTCTGGTAACCAAGCAGTTCAATTGTCATAGAAAGAAATATCAATCCATTGTTTGATAACGTAAGAGGCGACTAACGGGATCGGGTGGTCAGGCTCGCTGATTTGGTTGACAAATGTCATCGTGTCCCAGATGCGAAGATCGATGCCAATGCTGTTAATCACTGGATTGTCTGGTAAAGACTCAATTATTTACAGACCGCCGCCGTATTGTTGGAATATTGCTGAGTGCAGCGTAACACTAAACTCACTCACTCACTCATTGTTTGATGACGTCATCCCATTTCCGAGTGACGTCAGTCTCACGGGTCCTTGTGTGAGTCACTCAGTGTGGTTTTGTGTCAACAATTCTGCAATATCACGATGGGGATCGAACACCTGAAATGGGTTCACAAATTGTAACCATTACGGGAATCGGGAAGCATTTAGTAACACTGATTTTTAAATGTTTTAGCGAAATGTTTTGCAAATATTTTTAAAGGTGTTTTATTCACGCAAGTCTGTATTGTCCCAGAAAATTGCAAGTAAACGTTAATCAAGTCTTGCTAAATCACTCTATACTTGACTTTGGACTCCCTTTTATTTTATTCTCTCGGGTCTGGGAGAGAAACTTGTTCTGCGGTTGAAAACAACTATTTATCAGTGAGTATTTATTAGTCAGCGAGTATGTTTTTACGCCGATTTTAACAATTCCAGCTATATCACGAAGGGCGACATCAAAAATGGGCTTCACACATTGCATTGGCGGATCCAGAAGGGGGTTCAGGGTTCACCCCCACCACCCACCACACACACACACACACCACACCACCACCCTCAACCCCAACCCACCCCACCACCACCCTTTTTTTAAAATGACTTAAGCCCACATTGAAGATTTTTTGGGGGGCGTTGGCGGAGCCAACCCCCTGAACCCCCCTCCTTTCAAAATTCCTGGATCCGCCCATGCATTGTACCATGTACGACTCGAACCCAGGTCTTTGGCGTGATGAGCAAAGGCTTTAACCACGATGCTTTGATGGGACTTCGCCTGCTCCTCCGAACACAGTGCCACAGCTCCGTACAGCGTCGAAGGTGATGTCTACGAGCAATACCCAAATGCTGGAATGCTGTCATCTCTTACTGACTGACTGAGTTTGGCTTTACGCCGCTTTTAGCAATATTAAAGCAACATCACAGCGGGGGACACCAGAAATGGGCTTCACACATTGTACCCATGTGGGGATTCAAACCGGGTCTTCGGCGTGACGAGCCAACGCTTTAACCATTAGGCTACCCCACCGCCCCTCATCTCTTACCTACGGGGACAATGTTGCACCTGGAAACTTCTTTGAGTGGCATTTAGAAGCTGGTATGATGAACACTTGCTCGATAACATTGTTAGCATCTACACCGAAACGTTGCATCCAGTGCAATAAAGAAGTTGTCTATTCATAAAATATCGTTTCTGTTCGAGATATCCGGCAATTTTGAGATACCGAGAGTGAGTGAGTATGGTTTTACGCCGCATTTAGCAATACTCCAGCAATATCGCGGTGGGGGACACCAGAAATGGGCTTCACACATTGTACCCATGTGGGGAATCTGCTGTACCTGTCGAGATATCAAGAAATTTGAGATACCGTGAAACTGACACAAAGACAGATCAGCTGTGAGAATTACAGATCCACAGGAATACGAATGCACGGTCGAGAACACAACGATGAGATGGAATTCTAAATGTGGACACAACACCAGCTCTTCATTGTTGCTAAAGTCCGTGTGTTCAGAAAACCAAGTGACGATAATTCAAGCTCAGTTTGGTGATTAATGTGAGCGTACAATATTCCATGCTGACCTTTAACTGTGCTGACTGACGCTTAAACATCTTGAAATCAACCGTTATTAATGGAGCCAGGTATAGGATCTGACCTTCATCAAGGTGGAATCCTCCTCATCATCTTCATCATTGCAGCTCGAATATCAGTTGTTTGTTTGTTTCTAAAGCCGTTAACTTGTCAATAACATTTATTTACAAGAATGTTCTCATTGGATTTTATGACCCATCACCGGATTGTCTGGTTTGTTTATAGTCTCGTCGTAAGTCAGGGGGTACCGTTATGTAGTGTCATATAGCATGTATATACTTACTGTTATGCACATAGTGTGGACAGTGAGTGAGTGAGGGTTGTTTTACGAGCTATTAGCAATAGTCCAGCAGTATCACGGCGGGGGACACCAGAAATGGGCTTCACACATTGTGAGCATGTGGGGAATCGAACCCGGGACTTCTGCGTGACGAGCGGACGCTTAAACCACAAGGCTTCCCCACCGCCCTCACACATCATACGTTCAACATATTACAAAAAGTATCTCAAGGAATAAGTGCCTATTTTGATAACATCAACAGATAAATATTATGATGTTGAACATTGATCAACTTATTAGACAGCTCCAAACATCCTTTTCACTCAACAACACAAGTGTTTGCTTGGAAATACTTTACATTACATTACCTTGCATTAATTCATGCTTACCATTTCCGTGAACACCTGGTGTCCTGACTAATTTCGAGCGATCCATTCATACAGTTTTCACCGTTAGGTTTCTTTTTACGACCACAAGAATCTGTTTTGAGTGAGATTGATAATTATCTGGGAACTGACCTTTTAGATTTAATGTTAACATCAAAATGATATTTATCTTCATTTCTCGGATCTCATCCCCCAGCTGATGACGTTTCAGTTGATAAGAAATTAACAGTAAAAACTATGACCTTTGTACTTCGTAGATGTGTTTCCTGAATGAAAATGTATCGTCTCCTTCACCTTCCCTCACGACTGTGCGACCTTGACCTTCGCTCGCGATAAGTTCAATTTACCGGGTGCAACAAAAAAGTGAGAATGGTTCCAGGAAGTTCCCGGACAAAACACTCTCTTACGTTTGCATTAGACTAAAGTCTTGTCTCTGAAATGAACATATTTTCAGAAAAACACTTTCTAATTCATTTACACAAAATAATTTAAACGGACACCAAAGACTTTCTTCATTTCAGAAGCTGTGGTAATCTAGACGTGCCACGTGTTGTAGACTCGCATGGCGTTCAGAGAGTATATTTGTTTCAGGGTCTGTATGACAGGGGCGGTGAGGTAGCCTAATGGTTAAAGCGTTGGCTCGTCACGCCGAAGACCCGGGTTCGAATCCCAACATAGGTACAATGTGTGAAGCCCATTTCTGGTGTTCCCCGCCGTGATATTGCTGGAATATTGCTAAAAGCGGCGTAAAACCAAAGTCAGTCAGTCAGTCAGCTGTATGACAGACAACGTTTCAATGGACTATTTCTAACTGTGGCATTGAATAACTGGTGAACACATAAACCGTAACAACCCATTCATTGCGTCAATGTATGTCTTCAACTCAGACAGTAACCTTTTACATATATTCGGACACCCTGCTTCGATCCCACGTTCCTCGAATAATAACACACTCTTAACGAGATCTTCTATCGATATAATGAATTCCTAGATCACTACAGACCGAGTTTGCGTAAACAACAACCAATGAAAATTGTCGGCGATATTGATAAACCTCACATGGACCCTGTATATGAGATTGAACCCTATTTTCGTTGCACGATATTCCGTGCAGTCGAACACGACCCTAGTTCGTGTGGCGGACGTTAGTGGTTAGTGGTCTTAATATAAACATAGTTAATGGTCTTACACTCTTACTATAAACATATAACAGCGATTTCGGTATGTATGAACACATATTACTCAAAGGAAGGTGTACAACATTTGGGTTTTTCAAATGTTTTTTTTCTTCTTTCTCTTTGTCTTTTTGTTTTAGTTTTGAGTTAGTTGTTTTTGCTTTTCTTTTGTTTTTGGTAGATTTACTTTGGTTGTTATTTACGTTTTTTCAATTTTATTTATTTTTAAATTTTTTTAATTTTAGTAATTTATTTTTTTATTTTTTTTATTATTTATTTATTTATTTTTTTAATTTATTTATTTTATTTTATTTTTTTGGGGGGTGGGGGTTGCTGTTGTTATGTTGATGTAAATAAGACAACAACACGTGTAACAAGAAGGGATTGATAGGCAACTCTTGCGTGATGAAAGTTCGACTTTAACTTAGACTTCGCAAATAATTCATCGAACTATTTTTAGTTCGCTCACTTATGTTATTCATGCGGGTAGTGATGCGGCTCTGTGTTTATGTGTGAATACATTGTATTCATCGGCACTCGTTATAAACATAGGCGCACATGGAAAGATTTTGTTAATAACAGCTTAAAAAATAGGAAATAGCTGATCTTCTTTCATTTCGAGCTTATTATATTCCTCATGAAACAATGTTTCTCACGTAACAATTGTTCCACTCGGGGCGTAAACTAGGTATAATTGTGTAAAATCGTATAACTATCTTACCACGACGTGTATACTCCAAGATAGACATTTACTCCCAGAAATAAAGTTCTCTTCTCTAAAATTATATATATACTGAAAAGAATAAAACAAAAACTAAAAGATATCCATGACATTTCTTAATTTCCAAGAGCCTTGGCAATGTAAATTTGCCCAATTATATTTGATATTTTTTTTAGAATCCTTTTGAATATATTCTCAGGTTCTAGGAGACAGAATAACTTTAATACAACTACGAAGATTTATCAAAGGTTATCTTCAGCCTGTTTTCATCAGCGCCAATATGTTCCTTTCCACCTAGAGCAACCTTTACCGTAACTTCAAATTTCAGCATATGACATACGACGCGCACGTTTCGATAAGGGTCGTCTTCAGTTAAGTTGACACTTGTCAAAGTTAAACCTATTTGAGAGACTTGGAATAGAATTTACAACCAGACAAGACTCGTCTCTGTCAGAGAAGACGACAGGTCAACCATTGCTAGCCATATCAATAACGTTTTAACCTCCGATAATTACCCCTTTGTCCCAGGGGAGACCACTGGAAATAATGAGAACTGGGCAATTTACTAATTACAGTCTGTGTGCAGACATAAACATATTCGGTAATTTTGGAGAGAAGATTACTTTACAAGATTGGACATGAAATTGAGTGAGTTAGAGAGGGGAGGGTAGTGAGGAGGGGGCGGCGGGGTCAGTAGGGCGGATGGATGAGGAGGGGAGGGATGTCAGGATGGGAGGGGACGGGGACGGGAGAGGAGGGTCCACTAAGACTGCAAGAGAGGTGGGTGGGTGGGTTGGTTGGTTTGTTGTTTAACGCCACATTCCAGTTATATGACTGTATATAATCGAGTCTTGACCAGACAAGCCAGTGATCAACAGCATGAACGTCAATTGGGATACGATGACATGTGTCAACTAAGTCAGCAAGTATAAGAAATAATATTATGGATGTCAACTTCTTCTTGATTGTATACACAACGTTTCTGGGCTATTCCTTGCCCCTTCGCCATTCACCTGACGAAGGGGCAAGGGGCAAGGAAAAGCCCAGAAACGTTGTGTATACAATAAAGAAGAAGTTGACATCTATAATATTTTGTCTTATACTTGAATACCAACTTCTATATGTCTCTCAAGAACCTAAGTCAGCAAGATTGGCCACGCGATCCTGTTTGTTGCCTCTTACGACAAGCATGGGTTGCGGAAGCTCAATTATAACCCGGATCTTCACGGGCGGGTCCAGGACTAACGGATAGGGAGGGTCATTTATGTCATCAGGTGTGGGTGAGGGGATAGTGGGTGGTCAGTGGGAGAGACGGATGGAGAGCGACAAGGGAAATGGGGGTGGGGTGTTGTCAGTGGGAGAGTCGGATGGAGAGCGGCAAGGGAGTTGGGGGTGGGGTGGTGATCACTGGGATATACGGAACGGGAGGTGAGGTGAGGTGAAAATGGGTTTAACGTCGTGCTTGAGAATATTTCGCTCATATGACGACGTGCATGCGTGTGTATGTGTATGTGCGGCTGCTTGTACTAGCCCAGACTTAAGCTGGTTTTATAGCGCTAGCCCACTGAGATACCATGCCGCAGTGAAGCATGAATACCACACTCAGACACATTATACTGACTCCGAGCCGACCAGTCCTTGTTGTACCCATTAATGCCGAGCGCCAGGCAGGGACCAACAAGTACCATATTTTAACGTCTTTTGGTATGACGCGGTCGGGGATCGAACCCGCGACCTTCCGCTCTCCGGGCGGACGCTCTAACCACTACACCACGGAGGCGGTCTTGAACGTTTAGACAGCTCCTGACATCATTTTCACGCAACAGCACAAGTGTTTGCTTGAAACTACTTAGTATTACTTACCTTACATTACCCAAACATAGGCGGATCCAGAAGGGGTGGGTGAGCCCTAAAAGTTTAGTAAATGACCATTGAAACTCTCGTGAAAACGGTTGAAAATGAACTGTGCACCCCCACCTCCCTTCTGAACTGTGCACGCACGCACGCACGCACACACACACACACACACACCTCTTCACCCCTGCTTATATTCATTCGCTCTAACCACTACACCATGGAGGCGGTCCCGGAACGGAAGGGACAGAGGATGTCATCAGGTGTGGGGTAGGGTGTTGTCAGTGGGAGAGACGGATGGAGAGCGGCAAGGGAGTTGGGGGTGGGGTGGTGCGGCGGAACTGGAGGGAGATGGGGGACGGATGGAGGGGTGGTGATCACTGGGATATACGGAACGGGAGGGACAGAGGATGTCATCAGGTGTGGGGTAGGGTGTTGTCAGTGGGAGAGACGGATGGAGAGCGGCAAGGGAGATG